CACACACACACACACACACACACTCACTTGAGCGCGAGCTTGTCCACGTCGTCCTCTTCCACGTCAAACTGGCGTTTGGTGTAGCTCAGCGGTTTGGTCACCTGTGAGAAAAAAAAACTTCTTATTTTGTCCTTCGTGGACAAAAGTGGGCATCCATAGGAAATGAATGGGAAATACTACAATTCAGAGCATGTTTTATTTGTCCAATAAAAATCAATAAATCCAACACAATGCAGATCATACATACACATAAATGAAGCAGTGAGCCTATACAACATTCTCAATGTGACAAACACACACACCCATATACAAAGCATTGAATGAGCATATAACACAGCTTTGTTAGAAATAAATGACTACTTTTTCTCTTAATTTGTCTTTCCCTTATCATGGTCAGATTTGTCTTTAAGCATATTTTGGCATCTTTGTATAGTCTCGCCCAACACAACTGTTTTTTTTTATTCTACAATTTTAACTTGTGATAAAATCTAAAACTTAAGAGGTTAAGTTTGTTAGTACTTAAACAATAAACAGTAAACAGTGGTTTATAGATTTCAGCATATATTCAGCTATTAAGTACTACAGCCATATAGTGGCTATTGATATTTTTGATATTTTGATGGCATCATATCTCACCAGATTTCACCAAAGTTGCCAAATCTTTAGGTTTTGGCTGTCTGAACTTACTAGAATATATTTTTTACTTAAGTAAAATAAATATTAAATATAACATAAAAATAAGCATATTTTACATAGAAATATGGTACTTTTGGAGGTAAATAAATTCAAAAATCACAGAAAATTGCATAAATGTATAGTTTTTCACACACGTTTGTTTCTGTGAATTGTGGGGACTTTCCATAGACTACTATTACTTTTATACTGACCAATCAATATTTTCTATCCCCTAACCCATATGGAAGGCATTTTCTGCCAATTTTAAATGAATCAATTTAATTATAAAAATGAAAATGAAAACCAGATTAACAATTTTATTACAGAAAACTATACGCAAAATATGTGAAATGTTTTCATTTTCATTTTCACTGTGACAATGTGTTTTCCCTGACAAATCGAAAAATAAAATGCAGTTGGTGATTTGACATCATTTGCGCTGCAATGTCGAGGCAAAGCTGCCAATCTTAAAATGAAAAGGCAAACGTGAAAAAGAAAATGCAAATCCAGTTTTTACGAAGCTTTTTATTAATGCTCACGCAATAATAGTGACAATTCAAATTAAAATGTAGTTTATTTTCCGTTTTATTGTCTCTTTTCGTTTTCATTTTCAAAGTCAACTTGTATGCAAATTCTATGTTGATAAGGGGGCGGGGCTTATTGTTCACGACGTACAGAGGCCCGTTCCCACCACAGTTAAGTAAAAAAATATATGATTCTGTAAGTCATAATAATGAGAAATGCTCTCATATTAATGACTTAATATCTCATAATAATGACGTACTTCTCTCGTATCAGTGAGAAACTGTCTATTACTTCTACGCATGTGCCAAGCAGCGGAGCAGAAGGGAGCGGCACGCTGAATGGCTATTTGAATCATTTAAACACGTTTCAGAAACAGAAAGTAGCGCAGTTTCCGGGGTTTCCAGGGTAACGGCTGCATTTCTGCTGTTCAGCGCCATCTGCTGTCCAAGAGTGAAAGTGCGCTTTAATCCATGCGCTTCTCATCCATGCTTGTTTACATCAGAGTGCAAATGCGTCTTCGTTCACATGTCACGCCTAAAAACGCATGGAAAACGCTACGCTGCTCAATTTATTTCAAAATGGCTATCCCTGTACATCTATGATTAGCTCTTCCTCTATCTTGGCTGAGCTTTTACGGGAAAGGATGAAGTGTTACGGCAAGTTGTTACGGGAAAGGATGAAGGTGATTGGTTGGTTCTTGTCACATGACCTGCGGTGCGCTTGCAGCATTCTGAAAAGTTGAGATGTTTTTATCTCGATGCGGCGCAGACGCCTGGAAAAAATAAGCACGTCGCGATCGTGTCTCTTCCATTATGAGCGAGCATACGTGCGTCTACATTTGAAATAACGAACTTGAGGGCGCAAAAGACGCAAAGACACGTGAACGGCCCCTTTGACGCAACATACAGTGTTGTTGTGCATTGGGACCAGTTGATGGGGAAAGTATTCTTAAAATGCATTAAACATTCTGAATAATTTGTAATAATTATTCTCGGTATTTTGAAGTGCCCACGATAACAACACCGTGCATAGTTATTATCGTGATATATCGCATCACCGAACACCGCCACATGTCTAATGGGTACATAAACTATAAAAGTACAACAAACAAAAAAAGGGAAAAAGGGGAAAAAATTGAATTAAATAAGTAGAAATTAAATAAGAAATGAATTTCTGCTGCATGATTTAGAGCAGAGATCAGAACGGCGTGGAAAGTGTTAAAGTGAGAAACCACCATCCTCCAGTGTCTGCTTTAACTATAAACACCTGAACGCTCAGATATTATCTATTTCCGTAGTAAACGCTTCCACCTAAACCAGAAAGTAAACAGCAGATGATTCATCCTGAAAATCTCACTACTCTCAAGACTTCATTTAATCTTTACTGAAAGTATTATATCATGCTTTCACTATGGAGTTTCTGCTCAAAAGCTTTACGTGTACATGTTTGATGACATATTTATTTGAAACAAGTAAGTATCAGTGATATTTTACCATCGAGATACTGTTATAATTTTATTAATATTTTAGAAATGTTGTTGTTTTTGTCATTTTTATTTGTTTAGATTTTTTTATATATGTGTATAGTTTATTTTTATTACAGTTTTAGTTTTAGTTATTTTTAGTGCTGTCAAAATTAGCGCGTTAACGCAGGTGATTAAGTTTTTCAGCTTAACGTGTTAAAAATATTTAACGCAATTAATGCAGGGGCGGAGCTAGGGTTGGCCACTCCACTCACAACTGCTGTTTCTGTCACTTTTTCTCTTGACAAGAAGTGCATTTAAAAACGGTACTGTGCTCGCAGCGCATGCTCTTCAATTGCACGCACAAAGGCACAAAATTCAATTGCAAACATCAAAGCGCGAAATAAACTACGTGCATGCAATGTCGTGGTCAGTTAAGTCATGAAGTTACCAAAAAGGCGACTAAAGCTTCCTTAAAACTGTGCATGCATGTAATATATTTTATATGAGTCACATTTAAGAACATGTCTCTGAAATGGTTTTCAAAACTGTCCTGGAGCCCAGCACTGTCTCACTCATCTAACACACCCGATTGAACTCGTCAGCTCATTAATAGAGACTTTAAGACCTGAAGTGGGTCAGAAAAGGTAAAAAGAGTTGAGAGAAAATACGATGCGTGTCAGATCTGCGTCACGTTCAGCAGCCGCTCTTAAAGTAATAGCAGCCAAAACAACCTAATAACCAGCTGCTGTGATGTCTGTTCATCAAAGGACAAAGAAAAAAAAGAAAAAAGAGGAAAAAATTACTTTTATAGCTTTAAGGATTCATCTATATTTAATTTAGAATTTAGTGTTTGATCGTTTCAATTTCTGTATATTTCTGCTGAAGGGCACAGGTAAATATCACATTTATTATAATGGGTTTATGTGAAGATTGTTTTAAGTTCACTTAAATAAGAAGTTATATTTTTAAAGTCTAATAAATGTAAAAAATTACAGCTCTGAATTATACTGTAATGCTGAATGGCTATAGTCAATGGTTAAATATTAGGAAAAAAACAATTTTATAGAGACATCAGTATTATTGGTATCAGTGATACTGGCCTTCAGTCATTAAAAAAAAGATGTCATTAAACAAATATACTGTATGTTGTTTGTACGAAATTATTGCAATATAAAAGTATATTTAAAAACGTTAATGTTAGGTCTGAAATAATATTTCACTCTTTTACTGTATTTTGGATCAATAAATGCAGGCTTGGCGAGCAGAAGAGACTTCTTTCAGAAACATTAAAAATCTTACTGAACCCAAACTTTTGAATGGTAGCGTATTTAAGAATTAATATGTGACCCTGGACCACAAAACCAGTCATAAGGGATGAATAAATAAGCTTTCCATTGATGTATGGTTTGTTAGGATAGAATTGTATTTTGTTTTCCATTTTAAAATAAATAATAATTGATCAATTACTGCAAGTATGCGTTTATTTTTCAGAGGACACACGCTGAGCCCTGAACTGCTGTCCTGCCATTGGACAGATCTAATCTGCACTTATAAACTAGATGAGCGGCGTTGCTTTCAGGTTTGATCTCACCTGGAGGAGCCGAGTAACGAGACGGCGGCATACGGATCACACTGGTTATTCACTATCGGCAGATCCTGACACTCCAGAACCCTGCACACAAAAAAACACACAAAACTGCATGTATGATCGCGAGCACTCAGACTTGATAAATAAATATAAAAACATTTAATATACACTACCAGTCAAACGTTTTTGAACGGTAAGATTTTTTATGTGTTTTAAAGAAGGCTCTTCTGCTCACCAAGCCTGCATTTATTTGATCCAAAGTACAGCAAAAACAGTAAAATTCTGAAATATTTTTACCATTTAAAATAACTGTTTTCTATTTGAATATATTTTAAAATGTAATTTATTTCTGTGATT